GGCTCTGGTTCAGGGAAAAGTGGTGTAGGAGTCTGTACCATAGCTCTCAGACTTCTGCTGTTGCTGTAACATCTTTCAAAGCAAAGATTTCTTCAGTGAGACATCTCTCCATAAAACTCAGGATCCACCTTCACTTTGAATATCCAGAGCTATTGGACAGAGTGAACCTCCTCTTTCTGACATTCAAAATGGCCTGAAATTTTGTTTGGACTTCCTAATATCATCATATGAATAAAAATGAAGAGAATATACAGATAAATATGGTTCCAGATGTCTCTCCTGGAGCCAGATGTGTTCATGTGCAGCTGCAAACCATTGATGTGAAACAATTATTGTTGTCCTTTAAAATTTTTTTCTTAGACTTACCATAGGATCCAGCAACCCTACTCCTGGGCATATATACAAAGAAAACTCCAATTAAAAAAGATATATGCATTTAAATGTTCACAGCAGCACTATTTACAATAGTCAAGACATGGAAGCAACCTAAATGTCCATCAAAGTTGTGGTATATTTATACAATGAAATACTACTCAGCCATAAAAAAGAATAAAACAATGCCATTTGCAGCAACATGGATGGATCTGGAGATCATCATACTAAGTGAAGTAAGTCAGACAGAGAAAGACAAATATCATATGATATCACTTATATGTAGAATCTATAAAAATGAGACAAATGTACTTACTTACTAAACAGAGACAGACTCGCAGACATAGAACTTATGTTTACCCGGGGGGAAATGGGGAGGGTGTAGGGATAAATTAGGAGTTTGGGGTTTGCAGATACTAACTACTATATATAAATTAGATAAACAACAAAGTCCTAGTGTAGAGCACAGGGAACTATATTGAACAGCTTGTAATAACCTATAATCAAAAAGAATATGGCAAAGAATATATATATGTGTAACTGAATCACTATGCTGTACACCAGAAACTAACACAACATTTAAATCAACTTCACTTCAATTAACAAAAAGGAATAGTGAGAAGGAAACATCAATAGTCCTTGGAAGTGTATTAGATTTGATGGGGAAAGAGGACTTAAGAATGATTTCAAGTTTGAAACTGAGAAATAGAATGCATGAGACTCTGGGATGATAGTGGGATCTCACTGAGGTTTAGCACTTTTGTGCGAAGGAAGTAAGATTGCCCTCTGAGAGTGAGCTTAAAAGTCAACACAAAAGTAATTGCAGCGGAGCTGTACAGTTACCTTAAAACGTCAGATTGGAGAGACACAGATGTCCTTCCACCCCCTCCCGGAGGAGCAGAGTCTTGGTAGACCATCCATCACGGCTCTGTTGGCATAGCCGTCCCCGTGGAGGAGGTTGACGCCCCGCCGCTGCCGTGGCTGATGGCATCTGTCCCAGCAGGAATGCGATGCAGGAGAGAGGTGACTCCTGCACAAATGCGGGTGACGAGTAATCCAGGAAGTTGCACAGGCTAGGATGAGAGAGAAAAATCAGTGACTACTTTAGGAGCCATGATATTTACAGAATGGCAGGAGGAAGGGGACCTGGATCCGAACCAAGTCAGTGAGGCAGGAACAGTATCAGAAAGGTGCAGCATCAAAAAGGAAAAATAAAAGTGCAGACAACGTGAGCCAGCCGTTAAGATACATCGTGCTGAGAGCGTAGGCGGGCTCCAGGTGCGTTACTGAAGACAGCACCTCCAGGCGGTCGTGATGGGTTATAAGCCCATTCATTGTATTTCTTCAGTGCTAGGTTTCATCTGAACACAGCTCCAAAACCGGAACCTTTTTTAAAGAGAGGCACTGAAATTCTGACAAAATAGGGTGTGCCAGAAAGGGATGGGGGCAGGAACCAGATGGGAAGCCCTGCCCCTGCATCAGGCAGAAGTTAGGCCAGGGAAAAGAGTATCAAAAAGGGTTGTTACAAGGAGCGTCAGAAACCCGATGGGCCTTTGTGGCTGACCTGTCTCCTTTCCACCTGTGCTATGGAGGTGATGAAATATACATGGGAGTGCCAGGTAAAGGCGTCCTTTATTGAATGGAAAGGAGACAGTGCTCTGTCCGTTGCCCTCCCACCTCCGCCCTGCTGAGATCTGGACGTAGTGCAGTAGCCCTCTTGTGACCACGAGGATGAAAGCTCCCCAAAGAGGATGCAGACTGGGGAGGCGGAAGCCATCTGTGTCTTGGCTGACTTCCATAAACAGCCACACCAGCCTGGGGCCCTGTCCCTCCAGTCTTCTTTCTCCATGAGAAAAATCGGCCATAACTGTTTCAGCCAGTGTGAGCTGCCTTTCTGTTATTTTCAACTGAATTCATTTTTAACTGAGACAACTATGTTATTCTGAGCTGCAAGAAGAAAGATTTAAATTCAATCAAGAAGGTCTTTCTATTGATTGGGCTTCCTCAATCTTTTTCTCAGAAACGGCTCTTCCTCTCTGCAGCTCCCACCTTGGGCCCCCAGTTGATGAATGTCCCCCACCAGCTGTCTGGTCATCCAGGCCAGACACTAGGAGTCAGCTCTGATTCGTCCTACCACCTGCAGTCTAACTGGTGGACAGCTTGGGTTGGGTTGATCCTACCTCTGTGACATTTGTGGGGTTGTGATGGAAAGTATAGCCATGCTGGTGACACGTATGAAGTCCGTGATACTATTTTTCATGTCATCCCTTCGTCCCCCTTCTTGCTGTCTTGGTCCAGGCTCTTACCTGGACTTTGTATGACTACAAGGCCCTTCTCACTGGTCCCCCAGCCTCTAATCCTCCACCTTAATCATAAGGAACTTTCTAAAGTGCACAGCTCTTCCTGTTACTTCTCTGCTTAGAAATCCAACAAAATGTGTCTTCACTGCCCAAACTGTTGTTTGTTTAAAAGTTAAAAGTTGAGTGTGCCCTGTCCTGTTGCCCTGGAATTTGACAACAGAGTCTGAAGAGTCAGGAAACATTGGGGCCAGAACACCCCACTCACCCACATGCAACCAAGCAGGGGTCACTAAGGAAGCAACATGAGTGGCTCTGTTACCATCCCCCCCCCCCGCTCCAGCTATAGAGGGAGGGGACCAGCCTGTGCCTCGTGGAGCAGCAGTGGACGCAGCCATCATTGGGCTGGGGAAGGGCAGTGTTTGTGCTGAGACTTCCGTCCCCTTCTTCGGTTCTTCCTCTTTCCCCACAAAGGAGGGGAGAGAAGCACCAGCAGAAGAGTCGGGTGGACATCTGCTTAGGCACTGGGCCCATCTGAGCAGGAAGAAGAGAATTGGAAAGATGCGGCAGGGAGCAGCCCGCAGGCACCACTGGTGACGACGTGTGAGTTTTCCATGGAAGGGGACTAGACTAGAGATGTCTTGCCAGTATCCCACCAAGGTGGCCACTCGCCCATGAAAGGACTCCAGCGACCAGCAGCTGGGGATGAAATGCCTGGGGGATGGACGGTGGAAGAGGTGGAGAAGAACCCTAGACTTCCGCAGCAGGAATCTATGTTGTGAGGAAGCTGGCAGGGCCCCCTGGGGACCCCACACAGGTGCCCCACAGCAGAGGGAGTGTGTGGAGGACATCAACCATGTCTGTTAGTCACGGCGACTCAGCAGGAGTGGATGACAGCTGCCCCAGTTAAATGAAGATGCTCTTGCCTGTTCTCCTGTCCTGCTGTCCTGTCCTTGCCTTGAAGGACCAAGACCCTCAGAGAGTCAGGCGGGAGGAGCGTAAAAGAGCCCCCATCCCTGCTCCAAGACTTGCAGTCCATAGTGTGGCTTCCTCAGTGGGTAGAGATTGTTTTGTATCAGATATGAAATTGAAATTTTAAGCTGGACTGGTTCAATAAATGAAGGAGGCTGAACCGTAAAGGATGATGAAGTGTACACAGATGTGAAACCACGGCATGTTCATTCCACTCACTGATGTGCTCAGTCCTGCTGGAACTGGTGTCTGTCACCTCTGTAGCCTCGTGCCTTTCTCTTCTCTCTGGACACCCTATAGTCTAATCTTACTAAATCATGTGAAATTTTCTGAACGTTTCAGTTATCTATTGCTGCGTAACAAGTGGGAACTATATTCAATATTTTATAATAATCTATAATGAAAAGAACTTGAAAAAGAATAGATTTATATATATTTAAGTATATATGAGTATGTTTTATGTATGTGTGTGTGTATATGTATATATATCAGATATGTGTATATATATCAGATATATATATCTGAATATATATATATACATATATATATATATCTGAATCACTTTGCTGTACACCTGAAACATTGCAAATCAACTGTACTTCAATGAAGAAAAAAAGAAAAAAAACTGTGTCATGAAAACAACCACCATTTGATCATTGTAGCTTCCAGGTTGCCTGGGCTCCGCCGGGCAGTTCTTCTGCTGGAAGTTCTTGAGTCTCATGTGGTTGTGATCAGGCAGTTTCTGGAACTGAACACATCTGGAAGCTCAACCAGGTACCGAGGTCTCTTACTTCAGGACCTCTCACTCCACGTGGCCTCTTCATGTAGCTTCTTCATGTGGTTACTCCAGCATCCCACAGGGAGCAAACAGAAGCTGCCTCTTAGACAGTAGCTCAGGATGGGCAGTGTTACTGCTGCTGAATTCCTCACACTAAGGACCCTCTACTATTTTGTTTCTGAATTTTGGCTTATAATGATCCTTCTGATGGGTACATCCTACTTGGTCCCTAAATCTTCTCTGAATAGCATGTATCAACTCAACTCAGGTCTGATAGCCTCTCTGTGCCCTGAACATAGATTTGGGGTTTTGGTAATTAGTCTCCCTAATTAGACTATCATCTCTCAGATGGTCCTGACTTCCTCACTCTGTTTTCATTAGTGCTAGCTGATGGACACATCATAGGCATGTGATTAAGTGTTTGTTGAATGAATGAGTGAATGCATCCATTTGTACCTGTGAGTCTTATTCCAGTAGGGGCCATATTGTTGCAGAAAAATTAGGCACAAGAGGATGATTGTGTCTCAGGTCTTGGTCAAGTCCCTGGGATGCACCTCTCCAAGTGAGGGTCCTTGGCTTCTTGCTGGAAAGGATTCAAGAGTGAGCCACAGTAAAGTGAAAGCAAGTTGATTTAGAGAGATACACGTTCCATAGACAGAATTTGGTCCATCTCAAGGAAGAGTGGCCCCAGGGCATGGGGTCGTCTAGGAAAGTGAGAGTGGCCCTGGGGTGCTGGAGGTGGTTGGTCTTTATGGGCTGGCTGATTTCATATGTTGACAAGTGGGAGGACTGTTCCAACTATTTTGGGGAAGGGGTAGGGATTTCCAGGAATTGGGCCACTGCCCACTTTTTGGTGTTCTATGGTCAGCCTGGGAACTGTCATGGAGTCTGTGGGTGTGTCATTTAGCAGCTAATGTATTACAGTGAGTCTGTAATGAGGCTCAAGGTCTACTGGGAGTTGACTCTTCTGCCATCTTGGGCCAAGTTGGTTCTAACCAGTTTTTGTTGTACCCTCAGAGGCTGTGTCATTCTTTTATAGGTTGTGTCCTCCCCACTCCCTCCTGTCTCAATGTGACCATCGTAAGAATTTTTATAGAACATATTCCTGCAGGTTCGACCAAGTGACATTTGAAGTCCTTTCCAGCTTAAAGATTTTATAAGTCTCGGTCAAGAGATAGTTTCAAGGGAAGAGTGAGACCATATATGACATGATAAGGCAGGAGGAAGTATTCTTAAAATTATAAAGTATAGAAGCAAAAATGTTCTTCGATTATCAACTTCCATATACCCATTTAGAGCTTTACCACAGGACTTAAATCAAGGTTACCCCAGAACTTTTGGAGGGGAGAGAGTTAGGGATTAGTTCCAAGTTACAGGATATAAAAGAAAGAAAGGAAGAAAATACAGGCAAGTTCTTTCAAACTCACTCACGTTTCACTTGACCTTTGAGGACAAAACAGACATGTGAGCTGCCGCCCTAACCCTTAGCCTTTTTCCCCTGGTAGAAAATGGAAAAACATTTCAAACTGTTTATATTATTTTTAAGGTTTTGAACTGTGGATATGATCGGGTACCTCCAAAATGAACAAAAATAAAAAATAAAAAAAGAAGTCCTTGTTTCCTGAGGGAGCATGGTTTACTTTTCCATTTGCCAGACATCCCTAGAGGCTATTTTAAAATGATACACCTTTGAACAGCTTATTGAGTGGTTTTTAAGGGCGTTTGCGTGTGTGACTAACACTAAAGCTTATTCTGATTTTCGAGTCACCGAATATGAAGTAGTTACGTATTAAAGTTACTGACCAATGATTGAAGTCTTTGTTCTTTCAAAGAAGGCAGCTTAGTCTTATCTGCAGTTCCAGCCTTGAATAGTTTAACAGCCAGATATTTCAAAATGCTTAAGGGCTTTCTGCCTGCAGCTGCTGGGGAAAAGAAAAAAAAAAAGCAGTAAGTGCACATGATGGAAATATCTCCCCAATGGCCTTTTCATTTCCTCTCGGCCCAGGGGAAAGCTTTTCACTAGGGAGAGTTCGCAGCAAACAGTATTAAAAAGGGAGAAGAGATACAATTTTTTTTCCAGTAGCAGGTCACCCTGGGAAACTCATGGAAGTCCATGGTTTGATCCCTGAGTACTGTAAATGTCAGTCAGGTTTTAAGACTAAATGAGTAGAAATAAATACAAGCCCTTTTTTTGTCATCAGAGTCCTTTCTCTTTTAATTTCATTTTTTATTGAAGTGTAGTTGATTAACAATGGAAGTTTCAGGTGTACAGCAAAGTGACTCAGTTATACATATACATACATATATTTTTTTTTCTTTTCAGATTCTTTTCCATTACATGTTATTACAAGAAATTAATTATAGTTCCTTGTGTGGTACAGTAGGTCCTTGTTGTTCATTTTATGCATAGTAGTTTGTATCTGCTAATCCCAAACTCCTAATTTATCCCTCCCCAACCCTTTCCCCTTGGTAACTATAGTTTGTTTTCTGTGTCCATGAGTCCGTTTTTGGTTTGTAAAGAAAATTTGTATGGAGAGGGGTGGAGGGTACAGCTCAGTGGAAGAGTGCATGCTTAGCATACACAGAGCATCCTGGGTTCAATCCCCAGTCCCTCCATTAAAAATAAATAAATAAATAAACCTAATTACTTCCCCCTAAGAATTAAAAAAGCAAAAAAAATCCTCCCCCCAAAAAAAGGAAAAAAAAGAGGAAGAGATAGAAATTTCTCTTTCTTTAGAAAAAAATTTTTTTTAGATTCCACATGTAAGTGATAATGGTATTTCCCTTTCTCTGTCTGACTTACTTCACTTCGTAGGATCATCTCTAGGTCCATCTGTGTTAAAAATAAGTACAAACTTTAAAACTTTCGTGGAACTTCTGTTCCTAGAGGAGACCCTTCTGAATGCCAGATCTTTCTCACGTTCAGTGACTTGTTTAGGGTTGTTTAGTTCGGGGCATGGCTGGATCCATGCTTCTCACCTGTCCCTGCACCTTGCAGTCACCTGGGATTTTCAACAGTCCCGATGCCCGGGTCCACCCCAGACATTCTGACTAACTGTTCAGGGTTGACCTGCACACTGGGGTGTGCATTGCCCAGCCTCCTTTGCAGTTGATTTTCCTGGCATTGCCTGTTTTGTGCAAGATTCTGTGGGTGGCAGGATATGTTTCCTTGCCTCACACGTACGTGTGTTTCCATATCCCATTTCTTGCCTCTTACGGACTCTTCTCTGGGTCTCGGGCCTGAACAGGATGGTCAAAATCTAGATCATGGCCCGTCTTCCTGGGCTGGGGGGCCCTGCTCCTTCCTATCAGGCTGTATATTGTGACATGCTCGCTGGCACCTGGAGCTTTGCCCTTAATGCACCCTCTGACTCTCCCTCCTCTCCTGTCTGAACAGCCGGACCTTGTGACTGCTTTCCTCACACCTGTCACTTTGCCGGGAGATGACAAAGTAAGAAAGCTCCTCTTTGACCTTCAAGTGAGGCACTTGAACACCTGTCCCTTTTTTCTTTATGCTCCAAGACAGAGGACCACTTTTCTCCTCAGGCAGGTAACCCTGTGTCTCTTTAAAACCCAGACTTTCGAGTTGGAAAGGACTTCAGAGATCACCGGTGTCTCGCCGGGCAGACATCCTTTCCCTGCGTGCCTGGCAGATGGCTCTGCAGCTCGGACGTGGATGCCCGCAGTGGAAGGAGCCCTTCCTCCCACCCCGGCCCGTTCAGCTGTTGGGCGATGCTAGTTGTAAGCGTTTCTTCTTAGGTGAGATCTCTTCTCACATCACCCCAGCAGATGCTCCACGTTTCCAGTTCCACACAAGGTCCTAGTTCCGTCTGTGCTTCCTGGGGGAGGACAGGTTGAGAAGAGTGGCCAGGACAGAGACCCACTGCTGGCATCCCCTCGGAGGGACTGGTACACGAGGCATGTCTCCAGTGGGTGATTGACAAGCTGTAAGTTCCTGCGACCTTGACCTGGGGTAACTCATTTTCTCCATCCACCTGGGAGAAACAGCTGCATCTTGACCCAGGGCCAGGTCTCTGGGTTGTTAGCGTGAGCCCTGTGCCTCTCAGCGCCTGCGCCATCTCATCACTGTCCTCGCCTGGACCAGAACAGCCACACGGAGGTGTGCTTGCTATGAGGACTGTGATGCTTGGATGTGTGCGTGGATCTAGAAAAACTGGGGGAATTTGACCTCTAAAACCCTATTTTTCCCCTTTTCTACCTCCCACCACCATTTTTGCTGCTGTTTCTGACACACACACCCCCATCCCTCTTTCACAACCCATTCCCACCATTCCGGGGGCCCTGTGTCTCAGTCACCCCAGCTGGCTGAGGTTTCCTGAGCTCACTTGTCACCCAGCGGAGGGTGAGCAGACTGGCAGCCTGGACCGCACCCGGAAGCTTGTCAGAAAGACAGGATCTGGGACCTACCGAATTCAGATCTTCTCATTTACACTTGGAGAAGTGCCGTGCCAGAGATCTTTCACGGCGCTGGCCCTTTCGCCTCCCGAACCTGAATTTATGTGTCCTCAACTCCGTTTCCTTTGGGAACTGTGTTCTATTTAGTAACAGTTCTTGGGCTTCTTAGACCAATGTGCTACCCTTCTGTGAAGCTTAGGTGCTTTTTAACTGGGATGGAGGTGGTGTCTTAACCCAGAGCAGTGATGCTCACAGGTGACAGGGAAGCAGGCGGGTACGGGAGACAGAAGAATCTTCTGGCATGTTCCAATCAAAATGCATAGGGCTGAGGCCACAGATGGGGTTATTGAAATCCTCATGAGGCCATTCATTCATTCATGCATTCATTCATGCATTCATTGCAAGAGTAATCTTGTAGCAATCTTGTTAAATACAGAAGTATATACATCAGAACATTGAAACCGTCTATATTTCTACCACACAGAAAACCACTCTTACCATTTTATTGGAGTGCATCTCCTTAGAGACAATTTTCTATGAAAAGCCTGCCATTTATATAATATGGGTTTGTATGTTTGTTTAATTTTACTGTAATATTCAGAGCAGTTTCTGTTTATCCTTAACGGTTCTCTAAGAGTGTGATTTTGAAGGACTGTTTTGTGATTGCTGATCCAAATCCTTATTGCTAGAAATTTAGTGATTTTTCTTTCCAGTTCTTTTCCTATATAAGCAGCATTGTGTTGAACATTCATGTCCATGAATTTTGGGCACACACATCACGTTTACTGAGTTCCTACTGTGCCTGAAGCTGCTAGGCAGGCAACGTGGTGCCAAATGGAATCTCGGTCTTCACAGGGGCTCGTGTTCAGAGTTCGTAGTAAAATGAGCCAAGCTCTTCGGTGGTTTCTACAGAGGATCAGAGCTGTGTGTTAGCAGTTTCCCCTGTGTCTTTGTTGCGTATTTTCTTCTTGTGGGGTTGTGTCTTCTGACATGTCACCGGTGACACAACCTCGATTACTAAAGTAAGGGACACTGATGACAATTCGTCTTTAAGCAGACAGTAGTGACCGCCTCAGACAGAACCTAAACATTACATTTTCAAGACGTTCTCAAACCTCTGCAGTGCATCCCTTTCAGACTCGAGTCTCGAGGCTAAGAAGGTACTGGAATAGGGATATCGCACCTGGGGACGTGGCCGTGATGAGTTAATCCCCACTCCCTGCGCTGGCCTCGTAAACAAGGAAAGCTGTGACTTCCACAGCGAAATAGCTTAGCACTGTGTAAGAGCGGCAGTGAAGTTTGTGCCTAACTGTCGTCAGCAGCAGTGGGGATGTTGCCCTAAATCCTCAGCTGCGGAGCCTCCTGGACCACAGAGGCAGACAGTAACCGGTGGCTCCTTCCAGCTCTCCCTGGCCATCTCTGCGTGTGCTCTTGCAAGCACCCGCTCTGTCTCTCCCCAGCGCGCAGAGCCTCTGGGGAAGGTGGGGGCCCCGGCCAGCTGCTCGGGCACCGTCGAGTGCGTGTCTGCCCCTCTAAGGGGAAGTTGCTGGAGAAAGCGCAGTTTCACAGGCTCACACAGGCACCTGGAGGCTAACTGGCCTTGGAGATTTGGGAGGTGAAGGCCTTATGCTGCTTCCCGCTGGTGACTAATCTAGAACGTGTCAGAGCATCTTACTGCAAAG